AAGGGAAAGCACACTGCTCATTTCACTTGTAGCATGCCGACAACTTGGAATTCCAGAGATATCAAGTGCAAGATGTACTGATATTTCATAGCTAACGAACAATGGATACAATGTATCATGCAAAAGTCGTTGCGCGCGGTGAATCGGTGTGGGCGTATGCTGTGCACGATGCGATGCGATGCGATGTGGGAACCTGCTTGCTACGCAGCAACTACTGGCTCGATGGCGGGTTGCGGGTGCGCATAGGGAATGCCAGGCGGCGTAGCCCTAGCTGCGATACCGACCGGCAGCAGGGTAGCAGTAGCAGCAGCTTCAGCTTCGACGGTGCAGTCGCTGCTCTGTCGCTTAGTGCTGACGGGCGAGCACCCGCTCGTCGAGTTGCTCCGTGAGTGCTGTTGGTCGGCGCCATCCTGCTGCGAGCGCAGCCGCACGAACGACTTCTTAAGAAAGTGCACGTGCACGACGGGCCAGCTGTGGTGGCAAGATACCGATGCGGCAGCAGAAGCCCCAGCGTTGTACGATCGCTGCGGGCCAAACGATGCGCGCTGGAAGCCACCCTGTGCACCGCAACCACTGTCTCCACAACAAGCACCGCCAGCCTCTTCGGTATCCGAATCATCGCTGAGGAGCGCAAGCTCGGTCCCGTCCGAGCGCGGCCTGCGGATCATGTCCGTTCCGTGCGTCGGAAATGTGTCGCCAAGGCTGTCGCTCTGGAACAAACGCGCCGAGCTGCCCGTGCGCTGCAGCCGCCGCCGCGGCATCTGCTGCGCCGCTGCTGCTCTGACACCTCCGTGCCCACCGCCGCCGCTGAAGATGCAGCCATGCGAGATGCCTGAGATGCCAAACGGATCGGCGTTGGACATGGCGCGGCGGCGGAAGAGGGCGACCTTGCCGTCCTGCTGCTGCTTCTGCAGCGCGGCGGAGAGGCGACGCATGTTCATCTGCTCGAAGCTGCGCGGCACGCCGTACCCGAAGTCCTTCTCATGCATAAGGCGTAGTAGCTGCGAGCGGGAAGACGAGCCGTGCTCGTGCTTGTGTCTGCGGTGGTCGACGCCTGACAGGCAGAGCGCCTTGGCCTTGCCTTTGAACGAGCTGAGGGTCGACTGGCCCACCGAGGGGGACGTCGGCTCGGTCTCACCATCACCGTCACTGTCGCCATCGGCATCCCCGTCCCCGTCAATGTCGACCGACCGAGCAGAGAACGGCGTGGTAGTCGACGAGCAGTATGTCGTAGCGGACATGGCATGGCCCTGGCGCGAGCCGGAGCGGCCTGAGACGCTACAGGAGCTGGTGGACGAAGAACCAGCAACAGCGCCGTCGGTCTCGCTGCCGTTGGTCGGTACGACGCTGCTCTGGCGACTGTGCTCGGAAGCGTCGCTCTGCGAGCCTATCGAGTCGCCGCTGCTTTCGCAGCCTTCGGTGTCGCCGCCTCGCGCTCCTGCTGCATCTTCGGCGCCTTCCTCGATGGTGTTGCTGCAGCTGCCGCTGCAACTGGTGTCACCGCTGTCGGCACTGCTGTTTGTACTGCTATTCGAAGCATTCATCGCGCGACGACTGAGCTGCTCACGGCCTGTGTCGCTGCCCCCGACGCTGCTGCTGAAGTCGCGGCCGAGGGTATCTGCAGCTTCGTCGGCTCCGCGCTGCTGTGCCTCAACGGCCTGCGCCTCGACGTCGAGCGCGGCGAGCTCTGCGCGCATCTCGTCGGCCTCGCGGACGATCGCGTCCTGGAATTGCTTAAAGCTAGAGATCATCTCGACGTCCTCGAAGCGCTCGAAAGGCTCGGGCGGGAGCCAGCGTGCGTTGCTCTCGTGGTACGCTTTGAGCCATGGGTGCTGCAGCGCGTCTTCGGCCGAGATGCGCTCGTGCGGGTCCCACGTGAGCATGCGGCCGAGCAGGTCAAGCGCTTCAGGCGACGCCTTTGGGTACAAATTCTCGAACGGGACCTTGGGCATCTGCGGCAAGCTCTGCACATACGTCTTAGCGCGCGCCGAGCCGATCTTGGCAATTGTCTCGGGTGCGGGCGTGCCGAGGACGTTGTTGATTCGCGCGATTTGGTCGACGTAGTCCTTCCCCGCAAAGATCGGCCGGCCGCCGATGAGCTCAGCGAGGATGCAGCCAACAGACCACATGTCGATCTCTGGGCCGTAGCCCTCTTTGAAACAGAGCATGATTTCTGGAGCGCGGTACCAGCGCGTGGCGACGTACTCGGTCAGCGGCCCGCCCGGGAAGTCAAGGCGGGTCGTGCGGACTTTGAGCTTTGGGCTTGCGCCTGCAGCAGCCTTCAGCTCAGTGCCGTCAGCAAGCGTGTCATTCTCTGCACCTGTTCCTGCACCTGCACCTGCGGCTGCCACGTCGACAGCCTGGCTGGACGAGGGCGAAGCGGTGGAAAGGAGGCTTTCAGCCATGTCCATGGCGCTCGGCGAGTTCAGGCGCGAGGTCGGTATCCGCCGTCGTCGCGGTTCTCTCTGATCCGCAGTTGTGCGCGGATGCTGCTTCTTGCATGAAGACGACCGGCTGCTGGTGGTGCTGGTGGTGCTAGCGGCATCCGCGTCGTCGCCGCCCCGGCTGCTGTCGCTGCAGCGGCGCTGTTGGTGCTGGCGCTGTGAATCAGCGAAAGCCCTTGCGAGGCCAAAGTCACAGAGTCGCAGTGCGCAGTCTGCATTGACGAGCAGGTTGCCGGGCTTGAGGTCGCGGTGGATGATGCGCGCACTGTGCATGTAGCGGACTCCGCGGAGGATCTGGGCGGTAAAGTATTGCAGATGCGCGTCAGACAGCTGCTGGCCGGAGCGGATGATCTGCGACAGGTCCGCTTCGGAGGCGGAGAGGACAAAGTAGATCTCGCCAAACTGCACGAACGAGGCGTCGAAATCGAGCAAAACCGTCGCGTTATCGCACAGGCTGAGGTGCCGCAGAATGGCGACCTCGCGCAACGCGCGGCGCGCGAGTACGTCACGCTCAAAAACGCGGGTCACCTTCTTGATGCTGATAGCACAGACGGGGGATAGGGGTCCAACGTCAGCACGCACTGCAAGGCAAGTCCATAACCTAAAGATGCTCTTCTCTCCCCCTCTCTCTTTCTCACAAGCGCAAGCGAAAAAGGCACTCACGCGACATTGCAATCGAGCACCAGGTCCCGCGCGAGCGCGACGCAGCCATATGCGCCGATACCAAGCTCGCGTATGAAGCGGTAGCGGCGGTTGACGTAGAAAGGCACGCCGAGACAGCTGAAACTGTGGTAGCCACGCGCGGCGAGCCGCGCCGGTGCGAGCGGATGGTCCGCGTCGGTGTACACGGGAACGCCCTTGCTGTTGCGGATGTGGTCCGAGACAGAGCGTCGGCGTGACGAGCGCGTGCCGCGCCGCGAGCCGACGAGCGCCTTGTTGTTGCTGTTGCTGCTGCCTTGGTGGGCCTGTTGAGCAACAGAGTGAGAATGGCGAGACAACTCGCTTGTGCTGCTGCCACCGTCAGCGTTCGTCACTGTTGCCGCCGTTGCGGTAGCCGACGTGGATGCGCCGACGTTGGACTGCACATACGCTGCGGCTGTCGAGCTCGCTGCGGGCGGCATGGCTGGCGGGTTAGCGGGGATGAAGCGCGTCGCGGCAAGCGGTCCCCTCTTCGCTGGAGAGCGCGACCGTGATCGTACAGAAGGAGACGAAGAGGATGATCTCGTCGAAGCAGACGCGCGAGAGGCAGCCTGAATGCTGACGGGTATCGCAGCCGAGCCGTCCGGAGTCGCGGGTAAGGGCGAACCAGGTGTAGCGACAATGTGGGGTGTTGGGGTGCTGATGAGCGTGCTGGCGCTGCTAGACTGAGCAGATCGAAGCAAATTTCCCGGTGCCATGCCGAGCGAGGACCTTTTAATCAAAGCCCCCTTGTCGCACAGGCTGCAGTCGTGCACCCTGGGTGCGTTTCGCTTCGCCGCATACACGTCTCCTGGTGCGTGACTCGGCTCTCCAAAGCTGAGAAGGGAGAGCTGGGGACAGTCACTAAAAGTGGCGATCGCCGCGTCCCTCGCAGCAGGATGAGCGATCGCTGCCGCGGTTGGCTGGCGTCTCGGTTCCGAGTGGCTGCAGCCGATGTGGTAAGCGCCCAGTCGATCCGGCTCGCAAGCTGCTCGCTTCCGAGCCGTGGAGGCTGATGTCCTTTCTGATGTCCTTTGGTGGTGAGTTGAAGTGATGCTGTTACGTCGGCGACGCTGTCAAGCCGTCGCTGCTGCTGCTATGCAACGCAGACGGTAGTGTACGTCAACGCACGTATGTGCGAATGGATGAGGTGCGGTTCGCGGTCCAATTGGGGCCGGTGGGCGTGCGAGGGTGCGGTGGATATCGCAGGTCAATCTGACGTCGTCGTCGTCGTCGCCGCTGCCTCTCTCACACTCTCTATAACCATGGGCGGTGCTTCGAACTCAACAGGGGTGTGTGGTGATGGTGATGAGGGAGGTGGTGGTGAAGATCATGATGATCATGACGATGATGACGGGTCGTCCTTTTGGCGACTGGCTGGCTGGGACGAGCTGGTGGATGGGGTTGGGTGGTTTACTTTCACCCAGTTCCAGCAGCATGTGTGGGATAACCCCTCTTTCCCCATCTCCCCCATTCCCAACAGGCACTGCAGCCCACTGCCACTGCATGCCCAGTTGGCTCACTGGGGAGGTGCCTCCCGAGTTAGAGTTGAGTTGAAAGCGGTTGCACACTCTCCCAGTGCCTGATGGGCATAGCACACTGTCCTCATGCCTCTGCCTCTACCTCTCGGGGCTTGCTGGCGCGCATATGCATATGTGGATATACTTACTACGCAAACCACCCCCGCCCGCGCAGGTACATACATACATGCAGTGATCGGTTGGCTCAGGCAGAACTCGGACTCTGTGACATGAGACCTATGTGCAAGCCGCACCACCCGTCACGATTTCGGCGAGAGGAGCTCTTTCGGGGTGCTCGTCGAACCACACATAGCGCTCCCCTCCAACCAGCTCACGCAGCCATCAACGAACGATGGCATCGAAGCCGAACGACAAGAGGCAACGAGGTGGCCTGCTCGGTGCTTGGCTGCTCGCTGGATCAAGGAGCCACTTGTCCCGGGGGGGGGGCAGATGAAACGACAAGCGCGGCAAAACGTAGCACACCCACACGACCGCACACTCTCCACCGCTTGTCAAAGTTCCGTTCTCCACATTGTTAACTTATTCTCCACCTCGCGCTGGATCCGCTTAGGCGGCATGCAGGACTGCGAGCGCAGCAACGCCATCTACCCAACGGGATTGCAGATTTACATAGCGTTGTACATAGCGGGAAGCTTCGGCGATGACTTGGTACATATGCAGGATTAGCAGGAAGGAGACATTCGTGAGCTCTCGCATGAGCCGTGCTGGTGACGAGAGGGAGAACAGTGCAACAGGACATGATGATTTGCTATTACACATTGGTTCAGACGCGTATGTACAGACAAGGGACGAACAGACTCTCAAGTCCAGGCGACACCTCACCTCTCTTCTCATCCATTGTCAGCTCTCCGATATCCGAAGGCAAGAAGAACCTGCACTTTTCTTGGACTGCGGAACGGAGATGCTGCGATCTGCTCGGACGAAGGCCGCAGCGGAAACAAACCTGAAACACGGGTTCTGGCATTTCTGGACTTCTTCCCTCTTGCTCTCTTCCCCTCTACCCTTCCCTCTTCCGTTGCGTGAGGGCGGATTGCGCGGAGAATACCGGATACCCAATGCCGCCATAAGAAAGCCGAAACACCTTATGGAGCTGAAGATCTGACACATCCAGCGCGTTGGATTATCTGAGCAAGTCCATCATCAAGCGGAGCCGGCACTGGCACACAGGGAAGAGCACCGTTGCACCGCCTCCGAACCTGCCTGCTGGCGATGGCAGCTTGGGGGAATTCATCGAAATCACAGCAAATGCGTCAGAGGACCGGCCACCTTTCTGTGGGTTGTCGCATTTCCTGTGGGTTGCGGGCCTAGGGCATCGCGTCACTGATGATCCACACGTGTTTGAAGCGCGTCGCGCGCCGTGGGGCCGCTCACCACCACTCTCTGTGATGTCTCCCGCCACCAAGAACAGAAACGGAGTTCGCTCGGTGGGTCTCGGTGGCTGCGAACCAGGGTGCCGGTTCTGTCCGAGTTGTCGAGATTAGGCCTAGCATCCCTTGCTCTCTTTGCACCGCAAAAAGTTACATCCCGTCCAACAAGGAGGTCATGGTCGCAGAAGACTCCACTTTGGGCACTTTTCTGGTTATAGCCTTCGGCAGTTGGCTTGGCCAGGTTGGAGAACGCTTTCGAGCGTTGAAGCCCTCTCGTTTCAAGATGTCCCTCGAACTTCCAACGATTGTCCCTTCGAACTTGTCGGTGACCGCCACTGGTAAGTAGAGAACGATCGACTGCAACAGATAATCGCAGGCAGGCTTCCCACAGTCCCAACAAGTTAGCGAGTCGGGATTAGTCGAGGGTGACGAAGCAGTAAGTTGCAGAATGCAGTGGCTGCAAGCCACCTGCATTCGGCAGCGTAAGGTAGATAGATGCATATGCCATCACGGACCAAGCGATCAAGCCGACCCGTGGCCGACGTCTACATGTGCCGAAGGTTGCTACAAATGCATGCATGCATATTCTACCCCGCAATGTGATCGGTTGCAGCAAACAAACACCTGGAAACCGCTTGACCTGCGTTGACCCGCACAATACATATTCGCTCGCCAGCTCCCTTCTGAACAATGCCTTCATGCTGCCTGCCACAATCGCCGTCCGCAGATCGGGGGTCGGATAACAGTGGTACCATTGAGCGTCGCATCGTTCATCTCCTGGCCTGGAAGTGCACATGAATCAGAGAGTCCCTCTGGTTCACTTGGCGCCTGTAACAGGAAGGACAACCACAGCGCCGCCAAAAGGACCATGAGATGATGCGGGTAACTCCTGCAGGCGTCGATCACGACGGCTCGCATGAACACAACAGTTCTTGTGTTATTAGTGTCTCTTCACAATTCCCACGAGTCCTTCTTTGATTGACAATGTCCGTCTCCCTGAGCAGCTCTCGCATGGCAGTGTTACCTGTTCGGGGTTGTGGAATGGGGGAGACGAGGAGGAAGAGGAGTCTGCTGTGTCCAAGTCCCTCAGTCTCGATCATCGATGCTCACGCTCTCCACATCGATCTTGAACACGGCGGGGGAGTGCACGCTGTTCCGGATCGCGCACTTTGTCGATACCGTTTTCACGCTTCGGTCAGACTTGCGCTTGGCACGCTTTGACTAGACCTAGCACCAACATATGCGCATCGTCGAGTGGTCAAGCATCAGCATCGCCGCATCACGTTCGCATGCCAAAAGTAGGGGGAGACGGGTCGTACAATTCGGGTAGCAGGGCGATGATGCTACCAGCGCTCCAACTTGCCAAGCGCGGGATCCCGTGCGCGCCATTTTACGTCACGCGAGTGGCTAACCGCGTAACTTTTGCTTTACGTGCATTGGAACCCGCCGCGCTGACTGCTGCTCGTGTCGCGCACAGCAACGTGTCCAATCTATTCACTCCCCAAGGCGACACGGATCCCACAGCGCTACTGCCGTATTTCGTTGGCATCTGGCAGTCTACACAGCCAGATGGCATGAGGTGTCTCGTGGTGCATGCGATCATGTAAGAGGTTGGAAGAGAAGACATGCTGACAAGCTCACTCGTCGTTTCCTGCGTTCCGCCTCTGGCTGCTTTGCAAGCCACGTGTACAATGGCAGCGGCGACCGCTGCAGGCGAGTCTCCTTGCCGATGGACAGGATGCGAGCGCAGTCCTCTTCGATGGGTGCTGCAGCGCGCAGAACAACGTCCTCGCTCCGCCGAACGGCCGCACCACCAACTTGCCCAGCGCCCTCGTCGCTAGGGGCACGGTACGCAGCTGGAAAGTCAGCATGAGCAAGCAAACAAAGGGAAACAGGCAGACACGTGTATGCAGGATGCAAGAGATCGTCCGTGCTTTGAACGCTCTGCGCGTCGACAATGCGAAGAATTGCAGACGATACAACGGGAATACGAAGATGTTTAGGGGGTTATGTGTAATGAGAACCGTGATGGGGCTCAACCAGACTTTTTTCTGTCTTCCTTCCACCTGACCAAGCAAGCCATCATCCACAGCGCCTCACAGACAAGCTCTTGAGCGGAGTGGTAGCGAGAGTGACCCGCCGGAGCCACGGTCCCAAAACTGACCAGAGGCATGCCTACCCTCCACGCTCTATGGCGCCGACGCACCCGGCGTCTGCTGCGGGTGTATGCCCATGGCGTGCCCATTGCTGCCGCTGCTTCCAGCGCCGCTTGCGCCATGCTGCTGCTGGCCGGAGAGGTACGCCCGGTGTGCGGACTGGTACGCGTCCGCTTCAGCGCGCGCGCGCTCGAACAACCGACGCTTTTCATCGTCCTGCGGCACCGCTTCGCCCCCGACTGACGACGCTGGTCCGCCTGCCGGCACGGGCGCTCCGCTTGTGCTGCCACTGGAACCGGCGCCTGTCGGCATAGCTGCTGACGAAGGCGGCGCCGCGCTATCGGGCACTGCAGACACAGACGCCTGGACGGTGCCATAGCCCCCCTCGTACCGTTGCGTTTGATGCGGCTGCTGCTGGTTAGGATGGCCGAAATGCGCATAGTACCACTGCGCGTACGCCGGGTCGCGCGGGTCGAGGCCGGGCGGGGGCTGCGGTACGCTGACAGCGCCTGCAGCGGGTACCTGTCCCGGCGTCGCGGGCACTGCTGCGGGCGGCTGGCCTTGCCCATGGGGTGGGTACTGACCTGGTTGGTAACCCTGTTGGGCATAGTACGCTGCCCATGCTTGGCTGTAGTCCTGCTGCTGATGCGGTTGCTGTTGCTGTTGCGCCATCAAGTCGCCATGCGCACCGGCCGAGCCGGTGTAGTCTGACATGTGTTGCTGCAGCTGCGGCTGCGGCTGCATGCGGTGGCCGAGATAGTCCCTGTTGGACGAGCCGGCCTTGTTGGGCTCCCACCGCTGCAGGCTCTCCTCCATAAGGCCTTCGAACGTGCCCCTTGCCTTGGTGAACTTTTCATTCAGGCCCTTGAGCTCGGCGACCTTGGCCGAGTAGCGGTCGATCAGGCGGATGATCTTGGGTCGGATGCTGAGCGCCTGCTGGTACAGGTCTTGCAGCTCCTCGTCGTCGGACAGGTTCGATTTGCGCGGGTCGAGCGACGATAGCTTGGCGATTAGCAAGTCGATTGACGATGCGGACGAGAAGATGCGCGCCTCCAGCTCCGCGTCCCGTTGGATGTCCTCCGGCGTCGGGTCCGGGAGGATTTCCTGCGCAAGAGAAAAATGCATGCGCGCGTCAGCTTCGTGCCCTCCCAGAGCAACTTTGCGAGGACGCGAGCAGGCTCGAGCACGCTACGTACGACATAGTTGACGGGGAAGATGCCGACCTCCCCGCGGACCTCTCCGCGCCACCAGTGCTCGTAGACGCTGTCAAGCACGCGGATGAAATCGCCCTTGGCAAAAGCCAGCTCGCCATGCTCGGTCGGCTGGAAATCGTACAGAGCTCGAACGCGCGAGGCGGCCAGTGCTCCCGGCGCTCCTGTTGCACCTCCCGTGCTGCTACCGCCGTTTGCCTGTGGCTGTTGACCCTTCTTTGGAGTCTCTGAGGAAGATGTCGTGTTGTTCGCCACGGGGTAGGAGCTCTCGCCGCTGACCCCATGATCAGCGACCCTGGTCCCGGTCGCAGCCGTCATCGCGCTGCTGCTTGCCCCAGCAAATGCTCCGCCACCGCCACTGCTCCCACCACTGCTGCCCTCAGCACCAGCGCCGGAGTCCAGGACGGCGTGGCGCCCGCCCTGATCCTGCAGGGACAGCTCGAGGACGCGCCTGAGCTCCTCGTCTTCGCGGCGCAGCTGCGCGGACGAAGGCTCGGTTGGGGGTACGCTGCCGTCTGCGCCACTGCCGTTGCCAGCGGGGTCGTCAAAAAAGCTCGGGTGCTGGTGCTTGAGCTGGTCGTACGTCTCTTTCATGATGGCCCCGACGCTATTGCCGTCGTCGTCGACAGCGCCGCTACTGCCATTTCCGCTGCCACCCTTGGCGGGTTTGCCCATATCGGCGGCCCACTGCTGGACGTTCGCGGCGGCCTTCTTGCGCACGGTGGCGTGCGTGTTGCGCTCATCTGCGATCAAACGGGCGAGTGCCTGACAGAAGGCGCGCGAGGAGAGCTCCGGGTAGATGATATGCCCAGGCACGTTCTTGGACAGGCTGTCGGCGAGCGTCAGCGCGTAGAGCTGCACGTTGGCGCTGCGGTGCAAGAGGCGCTTTGCGATTGCTGCGATGCAGTCGCGGGCGCTGCGTATGCGTATGTGCAAGTTGCGGGCGGGTAGAGACGATGTGTCAGAGAAAGGGTGTGGTGCAGGGCAACCGCTCGCAAGCACTTACGCCGTCTCGCCCTGTCCAGAGACCTTGTCACATACATCCAGATTGAGCTCCCAATTCTCCGAGGTGAGGTGCTCGTCTGTGGCCTTGGCAACGAGCTCGTCGTACGGGTTGGCCGCCTTGAACATGGTCGGCTGAATTGACAAAAGAGGGCTGGGTAAGGGGTGGGCGCTGCTGCGCTACGGAAGATGCCGAGGGTTGCTCGGGGGGTGGGGCTATGGAGATACCGGCGGCCGCTCCTGCGCCGCTGAGCCAGCTGCTATTTCTGCTTCCGATTCCCTTGCTGATTCTCTTGCCGTTGCCGCTTCTGGCCGGAGGGGTCGCGCAGGCTGGCCGAGCTGGTTGCCAGTAAAGCGGTGCTGCTGCCCCCAGCGTCCAAACATGGCATGTGCATGCGAGCTGGGGGTGGGATTGGGGGATGGGGATGGGTTGGTGTGACTGCGCTTGGGCGTATAACCCTACTTTGAATAGAAAGCTGCACAGAGGCTCCACAATCCACACCCCTCAAATGGAGAGGGTGGTCGTCATCTCCATCCAAATACGTAGCCTTTCTACAGCGTGTTGCCATGCATCGCCCATAGGCAGGCTGGAGCCTGAGCCACGGCGGGTGCATCAGTAACGGCATATATGTATGCTGTGGCATGGAGTGCATTCTATTAGTCATTTGAGGCTGGACACAGTGTATTGTATTGTGTTGTGTGGTATTGTATTGTGGCCCCGCGCGCGTGTGGAGAAGCGAGGTAGTGTCTGTCGCATTACGATCACCACCACTCATGAAGGCGGCTGTTGCCTCCAGAGGATAGGATGGGTATCGAGCCTGTCACGAGCTCGTCAGAGGGATCCCCCCATATCCATCCAGCAACCTGCACCCTGCACACGACACAGCCTGGAAGCCGGCCGCAGTGTCGGGTTCGAGCGCATGCAGCGGACAAGGACGTGGTACGACTCAGTCCGATTCACACCGCACGCTCACGAACGGTGGAGTGAAGAGCTACAGCAGAGAGCTGGACGTGTTGGGCCATGCAAAGGGTTGGACACTCCCGGACAACAACACACCCTCGCATTTAGCACAGCACATCGGTATCCATTAACCATCGCCCATCCGACCATCTCGAACGGACGGAGACGAACGCAGAATCAATTGCACAGCGCTGCAGACAGCTGTACTGTCTCCTGAGACAGGCAAGCGGCCGGTCTACCTGCCCATAGAATGGCAGCTGCCATCCCCGCGCCAGCGCTCTCGCCCAAGAGCCACAAGCGTCAGCCGTCGTTGCCTGGGTGCGTACAAGAAGAACTCCCACTTCACTCCCTCATTATGATGGCATTGTAGCTGGAAAGGACGCAAGGCAGGAAAGACTGACAAGTGCTCCCCCCCCTCCCTGACCCGCGAGTAGCATACCAATCCGCGGCTCCTCCTTCGTAGACCAGCAACAACAACAGCAGCCGCTTGCTTTTTCCAATTCGCTTTCCCTCTCCACCGCCGAGGCGTTGTCGCTCAATGCGTCCACTCCATCAGCAGCAGCAGCTTCTGCTGCAGCCACAGGGACAAGCGCGGTAGGCATACCTGAACGACGCTCGTCCTCCATGGCAGCCGTACAAGATGCCATTCCCCCCTCCTCCTCTCCCTCCACATCGCTTCTCATGGCGGCACCAGGATTTCCCGAAACACCCACCGCCGTCCGATCAGGGGCAGCAGTGGCGACAGACGTGCCAAACGCCAGCGCGATTGCGCTCGGCCTCTCGCCGTCGCAGGAACTCGCACAGCAGATCTCGGCGCTGCGCCTGACCGACGCCGATCCCGACACGGATGTGGGCACGGATGCACACGCAGCGCCGGCGCTCGTCGGCAGCGGCAGCGGGGGCAGCCGCCGCGAGCGTCTGCGCGCAGCGGCTCGTGCCCTCGAGGCGATCCTGCAGCATTTGCAGGCGTCACGCAGCGCTATCTTCCAGCTGGAGGAGGTGCGGCACGCCGTCTCCGTAGCGCTCCCTGGTGCTGCTACTGTCCCAGCAGCCAACGACACCGCAGCGGGGCAGGGCACGCGCGGCGAAAATAAGGACAATCAGGGGCATCAGCGGGAAAGGGCTGCGGACCAGCTCATGATCCAGCTGGACGACCGACTGCAGAGCGCCTCGCGCCTCTTCAGCGCACTCGAGCTCGAGATCGCCTCTCTCGCACAGGCTCCTCCTAGCAGGGTAGACGACGTTGACGAGGAGAGTGACGCAGGCGTGCCGGCTCTCAAGAGAAGCGGCAGCGAGAGCTCCCTGGCGAGCACGTCCAGCTTTGACGACGAGCTATTTTTTGCAGCTGCAGCGGGCGCAGATGCATCGGCCCCCTCGCTGGCGTCGCTGCAGGCGCGCTTCGGGGCGGCATCAGCCGAGTGGGTCGCCGTGCAGGATGAGGTGGAGCTGCTGCGTCGCGAGCTGGTCGAGGACAAGCAGCTGGCTGTGCTTGAGGGAACCTGCATGCACGTCGAGAGCGTCATGGACAGCCTCGAGCGCGCCGTCAATGCCGCGCGCGAGCTTGGGTGGAAGTGCCAGGAGGAGATGCAGGTGCTACATTCGTGGCGCCACCAACAGCAGCAGGCCGTCCAAAAAGCGCGAGGGGTCGACATAGACACGACCGAGCAGGAGGAGGAGCTGGAAGATTGCGCGGAACGCGCGGAGCGAATGCGCATGCTTCTCGACGAGCTGCGCGAGGTGCGGCGCAAGCTTGAAGTGAAGAAGGAGTACTACTTTCCTTCGATCGACAAGGCCTTCGTCGGGCTGGAGGCCATGCTTAAGAACCGCGCAACGTCAAATGGCCACCTGCTTCGCCGCCGCCATGAGCTCGGCAATCGCTGGAAGAGCCTGCGCGATGGCGTCGGAAAGTTCGAGCGCGACCTTGCGCGAACAGAGCGCAAGCTGCGCGCGGAGGCCCACGTCGTCTTTGGCAGTAACAGCGGCACCGGCGCTGGTGCCGCGGCGGATCAAAGCACCGCATGTCTTGCCGACAGCCCGAGCAACAGCAGCTCGCTCAGCACCAACATGCGTTCCTCCACCAAGAGCTCAGCAGCAGGAGCAGGCGCAGCGTCGTCATCGCCAACGCGTCCGACCAAATCGCTCCTGCGCGTGCGACCTAACGGCCACGACGCTATTGCAGCACATAGCTCGACTTCGCCATCAACGTCTGCCTCTGCCGCTGTGGCCCACACGCCGCCCCGCAGGAGCATCTCCCTTTCCTCTCTCCCTGGCTCGCAGGGAAGCGTTATTTCCGCTTCCACGCCACCGCAGAAGTTGCTGAAAAGCTCGCAACGCGGCCACAGTGGTGGTAGTGCCGCACCAGGCCATAGCTCCGGCAGCAGTAGCACCAAGAGCAACAACCGCACGGCGGCCCCCGTACCGATACCAGCCGCATCAAGGATCTCACTCATCGGTGCTGCGCCCGCCACCGACATTGTGCACGGCGGAGCGGCAGGGAGCCGCTACGCGCACATCGGTCCCCGCGTCTCCTCGCGCCGGCCGCCGCCGTCCCCGTCGCCGACGATGGGACGCAGCAGCGCCATCACCAACGCCGCGTCGTCTTCCTCTTCACTGCAGGCCGGCCCCCCTGCACAAATCTACTCGAGCTCCTGGCAGTCGCGAAGCGTGCTCGACGCGAACGCTGGCTCGCAGGTCCCTAAGCATATGCAGCAGAGCATGCAGCGCGCGCCCTTGCGTGGCGTCTCGCCTTCTATATCCTCTTCGCCGTACCGTCTCGCATCCGCGCGCAGAGATTTAAGTTTGAACGTAGCGGAACGGTCCAAGACGCCGCAGCCTGCGCCAACGTATGCGCGCTCGCGCTCACGAGCGGGCTCCGAGCCACCCGAGGCGGCGGTCATGCCCGGCTCGTCGGCCGCAAGCGGGTGGCGCGCCCGTGTCGATGCGAGGCTAGCGGCGCAACGAGCTGGCTCCATTGCAGCGGATGAGTCGATGGAGAGTATAGGCGACGACTCGTACGTATCCACGTCGACCGTGCACCATCCTCGCTCCGGCTCATCGCTCGGGTTCAGCACTGGCGCGCCATTGGCTAGTGCCGCAAGAACGAACCAGGGTCGCGGTGGCACAGCGCGACCAATGTCGATGCTCGGCTCGTACTACCGCCCACCCTCCGTCACCGGAAATGCGAAGGAGGAAATCGAGGAGATATGTTCGCGATACGACGCGAGCAGCGGTAGCGGCAGTACAGACCGTGCAACTATGCGACAAAGCTTCATACCGCGTCTCTCGTCGAACGGCAGTATCGCCGATACCTTCTCAGCAGGTGCAGATCATCGCTCCGTCAGTCTCAGTGCAATCCGGCGCCCAGCCTCTGCCCAGTCCAATGCGTCGAACGACTCGCTGCAAGGCGCTTCGCGCATCCCCTTGAGGTCGCCAAGCCGTCACCACTCGACTGCTTCCACAATCTCATTTGGCGCGAGCCGCCTGAGCATGCAGACACCCGAACCCGTCATTGCTGCGCGTGCCCAGAGACTCAGTATGTTTGCGAAACCGTCCGGCATCACGAACTCGGCGCAGCGCAAGGCCTCCCGGCCCCCGCCCACGCGGTACAATGTCGGCGGCGTAGCGAGTCACGGATCATCGGCCAGCGCAAGTGCTGGTGCTGGCAGCGGTAACAGCAGCGGCACCGTTTCGCTGAACCCCCGCAAAGCTAGTGGCCGCAGCACACCGCTCTCCGCCGCAGCACTCGCGAATGTCCCTGACGCCTCGCGCTCGATCGACATTGCGCGAAGCTCGCTCGTCTCGCACGATTCGAGCGTCGCCAACTTTCGCGCGCAGAAAGCTGCGGCAGCCTCACGCGAGGGTGCCTCAACACCAACGCACAGCGAGCGCAGCTTTGGCTCACGCTCGTACGCCAGCTCTGCTTTCGGCGGCGGTGGCGGCACGCGGACCGGGGGTAATTACTACGACGGTTATCAACCGAACCCATTCGATGATCTTGACGTGGAGATTGCTCGCATCGTTAACGAGCTCGGCGTCGCTCTTGAGCGCCTGGACGAGCGCCTGCCCAAGGGCCAGAGGCTGGACCTTGGGCCGGGCAAAGAAGCTCAAGCGCGTTACCTGGTCGGCGGCAAGGCGGTCATGTGCAAGATTCTTGAACTGGTGAGCAGTGCTGTGATGACATCGAGAGCTATGAGACTTATTCTTTCTTTCACCCTTCCTTTGGGTCAGCACCGGCCTGGTCACGGGTCAGGACGCAGCTCAACGAAGGCACGCAAGATCATGGTTCGCGCCGAAGGCTTCTGGCAGGATCTCGAGGGCTGGCTGTTGACAAAGTTGAGGCAGTAATGCAATAAGCTTTTCCATGGTAATCACCGACAATACAATTTTGTGGTATAAGGGACAAAGTGGAACTGGAGGTATCTTTGCAGTATTGTACAAATGTCGTGTGATAAAGAAAAAGTGGATACGGTGGCTTCAAATATTAGCTTCTGGCAGGTGTGGGGAGACCAGACGGACGCGTTAAGCCAGTAGACTTCGTGTTGGGTGCTGGGAGGGACGAGCGAGGCAGCGCAGGCTTGATAGCCGGCGTGAGCAGGGCGTTGATCTTGCCATTGCTGGTTGGAGTGGTTGGGGCGCGCAGACCCGAAGCGCTCTTCTTGCGGTGTAGCGTCGGCATCGTAGAGATAGGAGGCGGGACGAATGACTTCGCGTCCAGAATTCCGGCGCTTTTCATTTTCCGTAATCCAGGTCCTGCGCCGGCGGGGCGAGGGATTGTCCCTGTCAATGGGATCTGCGTTGATGGCTTGGGCAGCGAGCTCATCGAGGGGCGCATCTTCAGCGATGGCTTTGGTGCGCTCCTCACGAAGGAACCCGCCTCCTCCTTGCTTGTTGGCTGCTCTGGAGGGGCTAGATCATCTGAATTGCCATTGGAAGCGCGACTCGAAGCCGTGGACAGCTCCATTGGACTCTGTGGTCGCTTGAGCCCACCCTTCGTATCGCTGATACTCGACTTCGGCAACGAGATCCTTGATTGAGCATGAGAAAAAAGCTTCGTTGGGGACGTCTTTGTCGAAGCGGTTGACTTGAATGAGGAGGTTGAATTTGACCGAGACCTAGCCTTTGGCTGGGGCAATCGAAGTTGTGATCCTCTCGCAGACTTGTCAGCCGGAGGGGTCACCGCGCTGTCCTCTACACCACTCCACTTGGCCTCCGAAGCATGATTACTCTTGCCTGGCTCCTGCTTTGGCAAGGGGACGGGCGATGTAACACACTCGACCCGCATTTTCTGCGGAGCACGAAGTCTCGACATGGACAATTTCGGTTTCAAAGTAAGAGCACGGGGCGCCAAATCCGATTGTGAGACACCTGCAGGTGCAGTGCTGGCAGGCAGAGCGGTCCGCTGCTCGACACGATGGCCCACTTCGGAGGTTGGCTTTGATGCGCTTTCTTTGCCTTTGCTGTGGGCGCTCGTGTAACTACCTTCCGAATAGCTAGATGCGATGGTCGACCGGCTGTCTCGCCTACTCCCGCTTCCGCTGTGTGACCAAATCACAGAGGCGGCCATCGTGTCAGGGGTTGCAGTAAAGTCGGAGCCATGGTTGGTTCGCAGGGTTTGCTGTTTATCATTGTGTCCTTCGGCCATACCATTGTCTGTTTGCTCTATACCAGCAACCGCTGCCTGTGAAGGGGTGTTGGAAACTTCGGAAGCCCAAATTGCAGCCGCTGTATTTGTCTGCTCCATTTGCGTGGCAACGCTTTCAGGCGACGTCTCTTCGACGGCCACATTGTCCTTAGCCTCTGACTTCTTCGCTGTATCTTCTAATCCACCTGGAGCCGCTGCCGAAAGCTTGATTTCCTCGTCTTGAGAGGGCGCTAGCACGGAGGCATTCGCTCTTGTCCACTTGGCAATACCAGCGTTTGCTTGCTCGAGAGACTCCGTGTCCGATCCCTGTTCAATGGAAGTGTCGACCTTGAGCTTTTCAATACTCCAGCGAGCTCCCTTCAAGCGCTCATTCAGCTGGTCCAATTGCACTGGACCGTGGCCGGCTGTCGATACGTCGGATACCTCGTGCATCTCCACGGAATGGCCGATGCTGTGTCCAGCGCTGAGCCGTGAGCCGCGCTGTGGATTGTCTGTTATGGACATACCCATCCGTTTTGAACGCGGCGAGTCGTCATCGAGCCTGGCTAGCACAGGGGAATGAGCCTGTGATAAATTGAATGTCAGCATAGTCGTCACTTCTACACGCTATGCAATGTAACGCACCTGCAACTCTTCCTCAAACCATCGATCGTCGGCGAGGAGGTCTGGGTTTGCATCATCCAGTATCGAGAGGTCAGGGCTTGTCGCCCGCTCTTGAAAGCGCCGCGTTTGATTGCCCGTGCTCGTCCTCACAGGTATCCGCGGGGAAAGCGAGACAACGGCATTCGATGAATAGGAGCTGGATGCATCTGCGGCCTTGGATTGCTGTTCGTGCATTAATGACTTGCGGATTGGCTTGACGACGCGAGATGGCTGCAGCTCCGACGAGCCCTCTGTGCCACTCTCCCGTACATTCTTCTTCTCGCGGAGCTTGCGCTTGGCGCCGCACGCAGCCGGAATGTCAAAGATGCCAGAGCGCTTTGCAAGCACCTCCAGTGACTCCCCAACGTCGAGGTCAGACTCTTCACTGCCTGCGTCGTCTTCATCAGAATCAAGTGAAAGCGATTGAGCAAGTAAAGACCTCTTATACGGTGATGCTTCTTGGGATGGCTTTGGCGAGATGGGACTGTTGAGGGAGGAAAGGCTGCGTCGTACGGACAGACGGGGCGCTTTGATTTTTGGCGGCCATTCCATCGCAGGGAGCTCATGCGACTTGGACAAACTCGTGCTGCTCCTTCGAGGCAGCGGTCGTCTGCCACCTGACTTGCATTCCAGAGCGAGCTCGACTTCTGTCTCTAGGAGCGAGCGAGAGCGGGAACGCTGGCTCAGCGCACTTGCTTGCTTGCGCAACACCTCCTGGTCAGCCGCGCCGATCTCGACGCTCTTGCGCTCTGGAGAGCCTGGAGGCGAGTTCGTGGGCGAGGTCTGCATCGAGACCTCGGCATACATCTTATCCGCTCTACAGACGGGGGAGATGCCTAGACCGACAACATGATCGTCACCAACGCCCGTCTCTGCTGTATGTAGCGACAAAGAGATCGAGCTGCGGGATTCACGAAGCGGAGAGGGCATGCTGAACAAGGAGCCAGCATCGACGCTATGAAGCGAACCTCTTGCCGACGTGGCGTCCATCGAGTACACAGACGGCGAGCCCGAGTAGGCGGAGCGCATGCAGATATGCGATTCGGCATGTCGGAGGAGGTCAATGGGAGACAAGGACATCGAGGACATCATTTGCATTTGTCTCTCTTTGTCCTGTCGTGCTTGCTCCTGCTTCCAACGCGCCTCGGCAGCGATCTGGCGCATCGACACCGGCCCAACACTCTGCTGGGAAGCGATGCTGTTTCGATGAGCCTCCCATGCATTCTGGCTGCCCGCCTTAGCGACAAGCGCCGCCCATGTGCCAGTGCCTGTTAGGTCCTTTGGCTTGATTCCAGCAGCGAAAGGCGGCAACTCAGGAGAGAACTCGTAGTACTTGAACTGCTCGAGGTCCCCGCCTTGACCCGACTCGTGTTGGTGCTGGGCACCAAATTCGTTGAACACTTGTCCCACTATTGGCTGTTGCTGCTGTCGAGCAAGGCCGCACGAGCTGGCCGCACGCGAAGGTGCTGAAGCTCTCTGCTCCTCGAAGCCCCACTGCCTATGCTTCTTCGAGCGTTGCTTTGGCTTCGGAGCCGACAGTGTGCGGGTTGCCGTGCCGACGGAGTCGTCAGAGCTTTCCGCCTCTTCCTCTTTGTAATGACTCTCTGCGAAGGAAGTCCTGCTGACGAAACTGGCGGCAGATGATTGTGGAACCGAATTATGAGGAGATAGACTTGCGCTACTCGTCGGCGGCTGCGGTGTCTCGACAATTTCGTTGATTATAATCGATGGGCTGTTTTTGGACCCAAAAGAAAACACGGGGGATGTATACGAATGGCCAGCCGTGCTCGCAGCCGACGAATGCGTCGCATGACCAAGCGAATTGATTACGCTCTGGTGCCCTAGCGAATGCTGATCACCGGCTTGGTGGCCGACCGAGCTCAACGTGCTGTGGCCGATCGAGTTGGCAATGCTTAGCTCTGCATTGCTGTCGCTAGCAGCATCGCCGTCGTCGTGGAAGTATGTAATTCCCTGCGTCTTCTCGTGCTCCTCTTTCAACTGCTCCTCCTGCAACTCCTCCGTGAGCTCCTCGGCGCCCCAGCCAGCGAGATCCAAATCGACAGCGCTCATCAGTCCACCAACGCTCTTCCGCAACAAGCTCTGCCTGCGTCGCTCGTGCTCATCGGGTGAGAGGAGACCCTTGGAAGTGGCAAACTTGGGCATGTCATCTGGGGCAGGGTGCAGGACATCCAAAGATACTTCATCATAGTCTATCCTGTCTGAGCCTAGACGGTGATGTGTCGCCTGTGCGTCCGCTCGCCGCGGCGTCTCGTCCGCTGTGTACAAGCTGGGCGATGACACAGCGGACGAGGAACGATCGCGGCGCGGTGTCGTAGCCGTTGCATGCAAGGTAAGTGCGCTCCCATCGGCGTCCGAGCTGAGCTCCGTCGACGTCGGCCGCACTCTGGGATATTCACGGCTGATTGCCTTGATTGAGCGCAAGGGAGGCATTATGGAGGGTGGTGTAAGTAACGCTTCACGCGGGAGAAGTTGCAGCGACGTAGATTGGGATGCAAGGTAGGCGGGCGCGCCGGCGAGTGGTGCATCGGCGTTCTGCAGAGAAGACCTCGAGAAGGATGAGCGCGGCGAAGAGCCCAGGAAAGGCGATGGCGTGGCGTTGCTCTCGGCGCGCATACTAGCCATCGAGCTTTTTGAGTGCAACGAGGGCTGCCGCTGCGAGCTGATGCTGCCTCGACCACTGCCGCTGTTGCTGAGACTGCGACTGCTGCGCTTGCTCTGCGTCTCCAAGCTCCGATCGGCGGCACCGCTGCTGAAAGCAGGGGTCTGCGGCAGCGGGTCCGTCGGCGGCGGTCCGACTGGAGATATGGGACGCGTGGAGTACCACTCCGCCGCATTCGTAAGGCCTCCTGCGGCACCAGCACCAAGCTGAAACAGTGCAGGTGACCGAGAGGGAGCGCTGCTCGTCCCATTCGAAACGCTGGTAGATGTGGGTCGAGGGCCGCCACTGCCGCCGCCGCCAATACTGCAGCTCCTGCGCTGCATGCTTAGATCACGCTCGAGCTGCTCGAGCATGACGGAAGCGCGCAGCTGCTGCTCACCACTGGTACCATGCGGTTCCATTGTGTACGGCAACGCCAGGCTTGTGGTTGAGCCCGGTCGCGATGAAAGCATGGAGCCCGTCCGTCGCGAGTTGGAGAGGATCGACTGCCGCCGAAGCACATCCAAGGAGGAGATGGACGAGCGAGGCGACGAGGGGCTCTGCCCCAGCACATTCAGGCGGGCTGTGCCTGCTCCCATCGCTGCCCCTGCAGTAGGTTTGGCGCACTTCGAATAGTAGGCACTGAGGCCATCTGAGAGAACATACTCTGAATCTGGGCCGTCGATGCTCGTCGAGTCGCTCGTGCTGCCTTCTCTACTCCTCCGTGAGAGCTCGGTGCTGGAGCATTTGTCGCGCGTCGCGCTGATGTAATCGATGGACAGATTGGCTGCCTGCTTTCCATGCCTCCGGTCCTCCAACCCTTGCTTGTACATGTGGCGCTCCTGCTCGGCCTCTTGCAGTTGCTGCGACTGTGAAGTCTGCCCTTTCCCGCGTATAGAACTCGGACCTGCAAGCGACGAAGAGGAGGCGGTGCACTGATACTGTTGCTGTTGCGCGGTTGCCCCTCGACTCTGCTGCACTGCATCATGCCACTCAACAGTTCCACCATCATCTGCAGAAGGTGAGTTAGCCTCCTTGTCGGCATTTTCTCGTCTCGTCCACAGTGTTCCTTTGGCTCGGTCTTCTGGCTCCAGTATGTCGGAACCCGAGCCTTGCTCTTGCTCGTGCACGTTTTCATCCTCGTATTCCTCCGTAGCAATCCAAGTCAGATGCCTTGGATCAACTAACGACGCGCTTGACACGCAAACACCCGCGAATCCCAGCCCAAGCCCGAGACCAGCCTGGCCCGGCGACTGCCTTCGAGTGGCTGATCCGCGCCAGACATGCTGCTGCGGTGGTGTCGGCGAAGCGGTGTTCGAGGCGTGTGGCAGCTTACCCGGCAGTTGTGGAATATCGGTAAGTGTGCTACTGTAGGGCGCTGAGGAGGAGTCCGCACATGTTTCGCTTAACGAGCTGTTCGAAAGCGCAAAACAGGCAGCGCTGGGCGAGCTTGGTTCTGACCCTGCTGATACAGCAGCATGTGGAGTAAGTGGCGGAGAAAGCAGGTCTAAGCCGGTTTCTGATGCTGCTGTAACAGCACCTTCATCGGCCGAAGGCAAAGCAGTAGCAGCAGCAGCCAGAGCAAGCTCTCGCTTTTTCTTTTCGCGCAACGCGCGAACTCTCGCTCGTAGCACTGTCGCTTCGCGCTCGGCCTGCTTGGCTGAATGAGATGCTGCCAAGAGACACGTGTCCGATGAGGCTGAGGCTGCTTTCGAAGCTGTTTCGTTTATGGTGCTAGCAATGTTGTTCCTGCTAGAGCCGGCCGCTGCCACGGCAGGCACATCGTCAGGAGCAGACGACATGGCCGATCCGTCCTGCAGCCCGATAGGCTGTGCTCCGAGTTCGGCTATGTTGCCACTCTGCGGATGTCAGCTCAAGGAATTGTCAGCACCAGATCGGTGCACGCTTATTGGAGTCACTCACATGCTTTGTACCTGAGGCGGATAGATATGACTGGGGACGGTCTTCACATTCAAGAACTTTCCATCAGCGACCCGGCTCTGACATTGCAAAAGAAGCTGTTTGTTGGTAGACGTGATGAGGTCGTTATAAACGAGATCGGTCGAGAAGTTGATACTGTCGAATTCCCCCCGTTTGAAACGCGCAAAAACTTGATCGAATAGAAAGCGAGTTGGCGTCCAGAACTGCTGCCAGTCAAGCTGCGAGCAGACGTGGCACTCCTTGACCTATACTTTTGCTTCGAGCGAGTGGTTGAAAAGGAGCGACACCCAGTGTGGCTTTGATTGTTATTCAGATGGGTAGCAACAGGCAAGTCGTTTGAGTATCCTGGCGTTGGCCACTTGATACGCAATGATCCCCTAGCCAGGGGTCGAGCCGCCCGTGCGCCCCGCACTTTTAGCACGAGCTGTGGGCGCAGGCCAGCGGTGGCGGAGTCTAGTTGAGCTCGGACTTCCTCGTCGGCTCCCACTGTAAAGCTCTAAACGGCCGAATCCCGATAGGCATACGCATGAATTGATATTGGGTGCGTTACGTTTCCAAGACGACGAGTATGGGCTGGGGTTGACGAGAGCAGCGAAATGCAAAAGCCCGCGGCCGAGCGAGATGAACTGCCGACAGCGTGATACCCCTATGCACAGCGGAGAGCGTGAGCGAATGTCGATGACGACGTCGATGGCGCAGCGACGTATGCGACGAGAGATTAATGTCAACCCACACACTGGAGCAGACACTGGACAAGAATGTTGTCCTCGCATTCGCAAAGCAAAAAGGAGCATGCAAAGCCACAGCACTGCCGCCCTTCGTCTTCTCGCGGTGCTTTTTCGAAAAGAAGATGGCGATGATGCTCACAAGCATGAAGTTCGGCTCCCAAGCTGTGTTACGGACCTGTAACAACTGCCTCTCGAGTGTGCGTCTCTCATGATAGGTATGTGTGATACATAGCAGCGCCTGTCAGCCGGAGTGATGATGAAACGCGGGTTGATTGCGCATCCTCTGGCCAACCGCCAAAAACGCAAACTTGGACTGTGGCGACTTGACTCCAATCAAAATTCCGACCGAATATCGCCCAGATGGTGTCTTGTGGGGCTGGCACGATCATCGCTCCGCCTCGGCTCTCGTAGCGCCTGTGGTGCGACATTGTATTTCTCGGAGATCACTCTTAGCAAGTGTTTTGTCTGCAGGAAAATGGAAAATTGCAAGTAACCCAGTTGAGGCTTCTGCAGCCTTGTACATTGGATTCTGTAAAATCACTGTATTTTGCGACCAGATTGACGCACGACTCGAAAGAGACTTGCAAGAAAACCGGAAGAAACGCCGGCTGTGGAGTACATGATCAATGGAATGTGAACTCGCCATCGAGGCCAGGCTAAATTTAAACAGCGCAACAGGCATAGCGTCAGCCGGCAATCGGCCTCTCCCTGTCACATTTCTTCCTTGGTGATCAGTGATTGTGACAAGACTGTGACCTGCGCTTCCCCTTTGCAACTTCAACCCCCGCACTCCCACCACCATTGCTGCTAGAGTATGTATGTATATGTCATTGGCTGGCCAAGGATCGTTCTGGCTTCTGCACTCAGCAGTCGTGCCGTGCAGAGTTGACAGTTGACATCGCCCTCCTACTCGCCTGTCAAACGCGCACCAAATTCAATCGATACATAATAAAAACATTAGTTCTAACTTCCAAGACGTGAGATGGGGGCGATGCGCATAGCGATGACTTCATGAGATTGTCAGGAGGATGTTGGCGACATGTGGGAAGTAAAAATAATATCCACCTTGGAAAAAGGCTTCACTTCGTGTATCATGAGAAGGCTGCGAGCCTGCAACTCGCCTGACAGTCAGGGTTCTCATAGCTCCCGCCTGCTCCTACAAACGAGACAGCTGCATTTTCTTGCTCTGAGCACTGATAGGCAATACAGACGAAGGGGCAGCAGTGGGCTAGTGGTTCATGTATGATCTTGCTATTTATTGTACAGCTTTGCCACTTCCCCATCTACTTCGCATTCTTGCATCGTCGCCAAATGGCCAGTCTTCTCGCATGTCCGCTGCGTCGCCCTGTCCAACGCTGTCAAGCTTCGCAACGTTTCATTGTGCTCCATTCTCGATTCTTGAGCGTTTTTATTTTTATTTTCTTATAGTGCTTCGGGGTTCGCGGCGTCCAGCCTCACAATCATGTCGTATGTACAGCTCTGAATGTGCAAGGACTGCAGGCCGCAACTGTATTTTTGCACCGCATGCCACAGATACAACAAAGGTCAATAAGCTTCGTTCGATACTGGGAGTCCAGAGAAAAATAGAGCCCCCTCCCTCGGGCACAGGCTAGCAGGCTATAAAGCCCAGCGACCTGCAAATTTCCATGAGTAGTCCGGCACAGCTATGCACTTTAACAACATGAAAAACATGCACAACTCTTCGGGAGCCTTCGGGCATGGTTTTGTGCGTTTATGGCTTTTGATGTGTAAAAAGGATCAGCACCGTTCAAGAGCAAACTGCACACAGCAAACATTCCATCCATTTTAACGAGGCACGGCATCGGCATAAAATGCCAGGCATAAAATGCCATATACACACCAAGCTCCGAGGGGAATTAGAGCACCCTGCGCTTTGCAGCGCTCTTACATAGGGAGTGGAGAAATAATTATACTAATTTAGTCACCATAATTTTGAATACCGACTTCCGAGGCCGTTATTTTAGTCCATTTTACAGTTCAGCTAGCAGCTGAATAGGGAATAATAACCCTAATCACCTCAGCTGCTGCAGCTCTCTGTTGCTTCATCAGCTTGACCACTTGCTCCTGACCGGCTTGGTCGTCTAACTGCACATTTCTGCCGCGCTTCATCGTTGTATGCTTCGTGCTGTACATATGTGCCGACGCGCTGGTGCTTACATGATCTCAGTGACAAAGATCATGGCACAGGTGAAGGAAAGGCAACGGGAGTGGCTCATTGGGCCTCGCGGGCGGCAGGCAGATCGACGAGGCTTTGAAACACCGCGGGTCTGCCTTTCAGACTCGCCTCCACCAAGCCGCTGTGACTGCGCTGCTACTCATGTACACATAAGGCTGGAGGCAAGACGATGGATCAATTTGTAAGGTCAACGATCAGAGATGGGGGCGGTGAGATTCGCACTGCTCAACCGCTCCAGAACAAAAAAGGCACGAGCGTCAACGCCGCAAGTAAGCCCCATGAAGGGTAAAAGGCGCTGAGTCAGACACGCCCGCGGGGTCTTCGTCCTCCGATGCCTGGGTGAGGTATGTATGCAATATGTATGTATATTCATTCGTATTTGCAGAGCTCACAGACCTTGTAGTAAAAGGAGGTAGCGATAGGATGACTTCGTTGTGCGCCTGCAGGAATGTTCATACCCGCAGACAGGCAGCGATATCGGAAGCATGTACAAGACCTTGCGACGCCTCGTCTTTGCAATGATATGACGGTCAGATGTGCCAGGTCCAGGCGCTTGCACGGTTAAGGTTAGAGCCACCTTGTTATACTACAGTTCTGCAATAAGTGAGCACCGCCTGCCTGTCACAGGCCGAGCACCTTCTTGAGCCTCGTCTCCACCAAATTATACGCCTCTTTGGTAGCCAAGCCGCCCTTAGTGCTGGCTGTCCACTGCTCCTCATTGAGCGTGATTCTCGTTTCCCACCCGTGGCTCGTCTCTTTCGCTGTGTATACCACGACGTCCGGATGCCCGTCCGCCTGCAGGTTCTGCACGAACTGCTCGGCCTCGTCGCGCAGCGTGTCGTACTCGGCGGTGACGATCGTCAGCGGCTTGGTCCACACGGAAGCGGGCGAAGACTGCAGGATCGGTGTGAGCTCGGGCAGCTTTGGAATCTCGGATGGGTCCGTCTTCAGCATGTAGCAGGCGTTGAAGAAGTCTGTGCGCACCGATATGTAGCACACGGGTATCCGAATCAAAAGTGGGCCATTCCATGCAGTCAGAAGAATGCATCATCGGTACTAGCATGGCAGCAGTATTCACTCACCGAGCATCCTCATTGTGAACCCAATTCCGGGGATCCCATTTTCCTGCAACCACTCATTGCTCTTGGCATTCTTGCCCGCTACGCGTGCGTCGTTTTCCGCGCCCATAGGCGGGTAGAAACTGATGCCACCCTTGATCGCGTCGGTCTCTTGCTGGCTGAGGCCGTACTTCTTTGCGATGTTCGGCGCACAGAAGCCAATCGTGAGACTCCCACCGGCAGACCAGCCGGTCAGTGCGACGCTGCCCGAGCACCACGGCTGCCCGAGCGTCCACCTGATCACGTCTGCTGCATCCTGCCAGCACGCCGGGAAGGGGTGCTCGGGCGCTTTGGCATAGTCACTATCCACTACGCGAATGCCAAGGCGCCGAGCGG